GATACATTGATCCAGTATCATTCAAGATGTAAACTAGTTTCCCCCCATAAGGTTATTGTGATTATTCACTATGTTAGGCTGTGTTCATACTTATTATTACTTTATTCTCTTCCTGATAGTTTGCCCATTTTTTAAAAATTATTCCACACTATCACACGAGGTGTGTTTGAGGTGTGCCTTAAAAATAAAGCTGCACCTTATATTAGATAGTATTAGTATCAGAGATAAACATGTTTGTCTTGCTTTATGCAAACATCAAGGAGTCATTTATCTGTACAGCCACTAGATAAAATCCTATTTTGTCATCTTGTGTCAGACGGCTTTGTGTCGACCCAGAAAAGATTAGGAGAAAAATGACAACGGACTCTTTGTTTAAGCAGCTTGAATCAACAGCAGAGCTACATAAATGCCTATAAATGATTTTCTACATTATAGCAGGGGACACCTAATGGATAGTACTGACGTTTACACAGATGAGTATTGTTGCTGCCTAGAAAAAAAAAAAGAAATTAATTTAAAACCTTTTTCAACCAGACAGTCACCGCTTATAGCCATGCCAGCTTAAAGTTGTCTGAGTCTGATCATCATCTGTGAAAACTCTAACCAAACGGAAAGCAAAGGAGAAAACTAATCATGTATAAAATAAAATCTTAAAGATGTTTTTATAATTCTGAATTATAAAAACATGGAAATGTCTTTTTCTGTGACTGATGCTACTGCTGTTGTGCTGCCAACAGATCAATACCTCTACTTAATGCTTCAATTTGTCTTTGTTTTGCATCTGTATTGAATTTGTTAAGGCGTAAATACAACTTCCACTCTTTTTCCGAGCATGTAAGGTAAATGAATGGATCTGTGTCCTTGTTTGTTGGTAAACTGCTCACAGTGCAGACACCCATTGATTCCAGTTTCATCTCCTTGCAGCCAGACAGCTGCAGGGTGAAGGTCGCACTGTAACCAAAGAGTCCGACAGGCCGCAGAGTAACAGGACAATGTAAACACGAGGTGTTATCTACTGTATTTCCAGCCTTTTCTTTTTGTTAAACTAGTCGGCCATAGAGAGGACACTGTTCCAGTAAACTCTGTCCCCCTGGTTATCATGTACAACCAGACGTTGCTGGACTAAATCCAGCCGGCCATGTGAGAGGGTGTGGACAAGCTCCCGGCCCTCGTGTAATTGGCTGGAAGAGATTCAGCTCTCCACCTTTGCTCTCAGTACATGTCACTTGAGTTTGTGAAGCCAACTGTGTGCCTCTGGGAGCGAAGATATATGTTACAGAATATGTTTTACTAATCTGGCAGGGTACACGTGTTATATCATAACTCTAATCTATATTAAGTAATAATTTATATCTTAAGTGCTTTATCTGACTTTTTAGTTTCCTGTGTGTTTACTACAGCAGCTGTTTCATGACTTAGCAAAGCAAGATGTTAGCTTAAGATTTCAGTAAGCTTCTGTTATATGTTCATTAATAGATGATTGCATAAGACACAGCGTGACTTCCTAAAGTATCTCCATGTGTAACTAATGGGAGTCATCTCTCTAAATTTGAAAGACCATTGCAGTAGTTTTAAAATTATAATAATTATTTGTGGTTGTATTATTAATAATACAACCACAAATATTATATTTTATGTGATACAGCTACAGGTAAAAAGTGGAGATATTTTCAAATACCATGAGTTGGAGTTTTTACTTGCACCTTAAGCAGCACCTACAGATCTGCAGGTCTTTCTGGGTAAAGGTTAGATCTGCATATGTAAATTAATATTCTAACCTTGGCCATTATACTTCTAATAGAAATAACTAAAGCTTTCTCTGATTGGACGTGGAGTTCTCTGGGAAACAAAACAAACTAATTTAGAAATAAACTACAATGTATGAGTAAATTGAAAAAAATGTAGCCTTCTATGCGTCAAACATTGACTGAACCATTCTTATGCAAACAGATGTTAGTGTTTCATCTGATCTGAGGAATTTCTCCCCAGATCAGAATTACTTATAAACAATATAGTTTATTCATTTTATTCCAATTCAAAACAGCATCTCAATTCCCTTTACATAGAATTTCGTCTGTGTACAGTCCAAATGTTTAATGCTGATCTGTTTATTTTTTTATGTTTCAGATAAGCTGCAGGATGGTCCCTGTTTCAACTGCACAACTCTCAGGCTCACCAGTCAAAAGTAAGCGATTTGAAATTTTCTTTACAGTTTCTGCATATCTTGAAAATCACAGAATTTCTTTATCTCTAATATGTTGTCATAAAAAAAAAAAAAAAACTGAGGATGATTCTTTTCAGACGTTTTTATCGCTGATGTATTTGTTGCACTTTTTGGTTTCCTGCAGGCTTGATGGGCTCCGACTTGGCAGCTTTGCCCGTGTTTTCTCAGTCAGTCCTTCCTTCGCCTCGCCTGATGAATATGTGGGACCCTCTCAGAATTCTGACCCGCGTCGACCCTATTGTGTGTTTGCCGTCGGTTCCTCTGGTCCTGGTTTGTGCAACCCAGGACCGCCACAGTACTTCCCGGCTGTCAGGTGGATACACACCTCGAGGAGAAGGTGGGATGACTCGAAGGTGGAGAAATCCCTGCGCTCACTAAAGGACAAGAAGAAGAAGTTGGAGGAAGGCGGGCCCGTGTACAGTCCCACGCTGGATGCTGAGCCCGTCAGAAGGACACTGCGGCAGCGGGTGATTGATGAGATCAAACACTACTACCATGGCTTCAGGTTGCTGTGGATCGATACCACCATCGCTGGACGCATGCTGTGGAGGGTCCTGAATGGAAATCCTTTGTCTCGCCGTGAGAGAAGACAGGTGAGAATGGAAGCTCCTCTACATCTAAAACCTTCCCTTCTTCAGATCTTCTGGGCTTATTTTTGTAATTGTGAGATTAGCTGGAACTGGCCACAACATTGCTTTTCTCCAGAGGTCAATGGTCACAGTAACATCATATTATGATTGAAGGTTTCCTTTTGCATATATATATA